CTCCCCCTGCTGCTGCTTGGCCTTGGGGGGGGGGCAAACCCTGGGCCGGGAGGGGGCTGCAGAGGCCTCCTGCAAGCACTTCCTAGGCCTAGCCCTGGGGCAGAAGGGGGTGCTGCAGAGTCCTCTGCTGGTGGAACCCTGGGGTAGGAACGAGACGAGGGGAGTCACTAAGGCTAAGCCCAGTGATGTTCCCAGGGGTGGAGGGTGCACAGGCTGGGCCTGGCAGTGTTTCTTGGGGCGGAGGGAGGAGTTATGCAGAGGATTTCTTGAACAGACTCACCAACAGATGCACAACTCTTTAAAGTATGTATGTGTGTATAATGTATATTACACAATAGCAGTGATATTTACATTGCTGACCTGTTCATAATATTGGGTTAGTCTAAGGCCCTCCTGCACAAAAAACTTGTAGGAGGAATCTTAGGATCGGAGAGCTCTGCTGAGTTCTTCTCACAGAGATTTCTCTGACATTTTTCCAGAGGGATAGTGGCCTATTCCATGTGCTTCCATTGAAAATGCCAGAGGGATTTCTGTAACTCATAGAGGTCTGCAGGAGTCTAGGACCACCTTGCAGAGGTCTAATACCTCTCTGCTAAAGTTTTATGTCTTTGTTGGTTTAGCTTCAGTGCATAGTAGTTCACCTCTTTCTGTGAAATAGAAGATAAGATACAGCTCTAGGGTTTTAGTCTGGGTGGGGAACAGCATTGTGCGCCAGTCATCCTCCTTATCCAGTTCACCAATTTCCCACTCTTTTCTTCTGCACTGATTACTGGCTCCATGGTGGAGTTTTCTTACGGTCTGAAGGTAGCAGCAAGCGATGGTATGACAAAGACAGCTGAATTTTCCCTTTTGCCTGTGAGAGAGGAAACTGGTAGGGATGCTCTCCAGAGTGGGCAGCAAAATCCTTTTCACTGTTCCCTTGCAGTGCCAAGGAAGAAGGGGGAGAGAAAAGGCCCCTGTCAGATGGGGGGAGGAACTTGGGGGATAGAGAAAATGCCCCTGCCAGATGGGGCAGGCAGGGAGAAGAGAGAAGGTCCTGGTGGAGGGAGGGGAGAGAAAGCCCTGCCAAATGAGGCTCTTCATGAGTGCCTCTTCACCCCACAACCCTCATTCTTGCACCTCCCCAGCTTCTGGCCCTGAGCCTCTCCTCAGCCCCCCACTCTGACTCCTGCAACACTCATGCCCCCAGTGTCCTGCCCCACCCCCGCCCACATTCCCAAGGCCCTGCACTGAATCCTGCACCCACCCATATGCTGCCAGCCACCTGCTCTGAAGTCAATGCTGGTCAACACTGGGAAAGTCTTCTAGTACTTCATATGTAGGCTCTGAAACTGAGGGAGATATTCTTTTACATTTAAAAAATATCCGTGTTAATTAATGTCTGTCTTCCAAAAGGTGCATCTTCAGTGGGGGGTTTTTCTGAATTTCTAATCTTCTTGCACAAAGATTTTCTGCGTCATTTTGAAAGCACTAAGAACTGTTTCCATTTCCCTTGTTTTTTATTTTGGCCCTCAATAGCTTATTTTGCATCTACCATTCTTTTGGCTGATTGATATATTGTACAAGCATGCCAACCTTTAGAAGAAAGCATGTGTCTGAGCTCTGTCCTTGAATGCAAGTGAACATTTCCCATTGGCTGCAGTAGGAGTTTCATGCGTGTATTCTAGGGGAGAATTTGATTTGTTATCTTTTGATGTATCCTTGCTCCATAGAGATTAACATTACAGTGGAACAACTCAAAGGTTATGTCTACACTAGGAAATTATTTCAAAATAACTAAATTTGAAATAATAACCCCAAAATAACTATTTCAAAATAAGCTTATTCCTCAAGGAAAGCAGGAGTACAGATTTCAAAGTAATCATCCTGTTATTTCAAAATAATGGGCTTGGTAGTGTGAATGCTCCGCTTATTATTTTGAAATAAGAGGGGGTTATTTTGAAATAACATTGTAGTGTATACCAGGGCTATGGATGGATGGTTTGTGCAATATAATAACAATGTGAATCTAGAAAACAGAGAAAAAATATTTTATAAAGCAGCCAGGAAGACATTTTTTTTGTCCATGATATAGCATTCACCTCTGTCAGAGTCAAACTTTAGATTACTTATTTTAATGCAACTTTTTGCATCATAATTATCAGGGCTTGCCGAACTGCGGCAAGCCCCACTCACCAGCCGCGCTGTCCGGCGATCTGCGCAGATCGCCCGAACCCGGCTCTTCCGGGTTACAATAATAGATTGTATTATTTGTCGAGCCCTGATTATATAAAAAGTCAGCTAAAGACAAAATTTTAAAATTCTTGGACGAATTTTATTCTGATATTCTTGGTATTCAGTCTTTGTTCCCAGTTTGGTCCTTGGAGAACTAAAGAGGAATACTTGGTAAAGAGGCTCAATAAAACAGTAGGGAGAGAGATCTTTTTTAAGAATGGGAATCATTAAAAGGAAAAGATTTCAAACGACCAAGAACTGTAAGAATGTGATATATTGAATGATATTCAGTTATCAAAAGAACTTGACTCTCAGATGAATGAGTACTTTGAGAACTAGCGATCTTAAACGGTTAATTGAACAGTCGATTCAACTTCATGATTTCTTATTGGTTACGCGACTATTCTGTAGTCCCCGGGCATGGGTCCAGCAAGCAGTGCACTCTGGCCCCCCTCCCAAGGAGCTCCCAGTCACTCCATACTGCTCCCTCTGTATTAGCTACCCTCACGGACTGGCTTCCTTTTGCCCCATACTGCTGCCTCTGATACTAAAGCAGCAGCCAGCCCCTTTCTGGGAGGGGGATTCTGAGCTCCTAGACCTGGCGCGAGCCAGAACTAAGCTTCGCTGCCTGCTCACCTGGCTCCTATACACTTTAACTGCAGAGCAGCAGCAGGGGTAGGTCCCAGACCCATTGCAAGCCAGGATCTGCTTAAAAATTTATTGGGGTAGGGATGCATGTAGTGTATAGCATTAACCTGTAAGCTTTTGTTTATCGGTTAATCTACTACACTGATACATCCCTATTGAGAACACATTTGAGACTGAAACATTATCCCCATATTGATAATAATTTAAGACATAGATGTATAAGCTAATTATGTTATAAATATGATGGTCAAGTCTCACTATGATTATGATCTACATTTAACCTAGTACCTTTTGTTCAGGAGTCACCTAAAGCTAATTATAGCTACATCTCTTTGCTTTCTGATTATGATATTAAAAATTGGTTTAATAATTTCTAATGAAGGCTACGAGAACATAAATGTTTTATGTTTTTTTATTTGTGATTTAAAAAAGTTTTCTCAGGAAAGGGACTTTTTCTTTCATTATGGCTGGAGAAACTTGCACTGCAAGAGCAAAATGACTTCTAACTGGTGCATGTCTTTATAAACAGATGAAGACTTTGCCTGTATATCTGCACCTTCAAACAAGAAATCTAGAGTAATATCTACAGAGACAAATAGAGAAAAAAGGGAAAAGCAGAAAAAGCCACACAAAGAGGTGACTACAGTGCTGAAGAAAATACCCAATAAGAGGTGAGAGGTATTGAAGTGTAGTGAGTAGTGTGCAATAGAAGAGCTTCATCTCAACAATACTTTTATTATTCATAATACGGTGTGCTAGCAGGCTTAATGGTGGAGTCCCAGCCACCTACTCGATTGGAAGTGGCCAGTATAGACAGCTGGCAAGTTTTTCCGCAAAAGCACGTGCTTTTGCGGAAAAACTTGCCAGCTGTCTATACTGGCCACTTGAATTTCCGCAAGAACACTGACTATCTCATGTAAGGTTGTCAGTGTTCTTGCGGAAATACTATGCTGCTCCCGTTCGGGCAAAAGCCCTCATGCACAAATGCTTTTGCGCAAGAGGGCCAGTGTAGACAATGCGGTATTGTTTTGTGCAAAAAAGCCCCGATCACAAAAATGGCGATCAGGGCTTTCTTGCGCAAAACCGCGTCTAGATTGGCATGGACGCTTTTCCCCAAAAAGTGCTTTTGTAGAAAAGTGTCCGTGCCAATCTAGACGCTCTTTTCCACAAATGCTTTTAACGGAAAAACTTTTCTGTTAAAAGCATTTGCGGAAAATCATGCCAGTCTAGACATAGCCTTTCAGTATTGCATCCCTGGAAACAGTAGCCCCTCTCTTTCCATTTTATGGAGAACAGTTCCTTTCCCAGGGCTTCTGGTTTTCATAGCACAACCAAATCCTGACCCTGCTAGGAGAAGAGGAAGCAGCATACCAAATTTGGTGGAGACACACCCACTCTCACTCACACTCTGTTTCTCTCTCTCACTCCTTTTGTCCACATGAAGCAGTGTGGATTTCAACAAAACTCTACACTGGTATAGAGATCTGCCCAGATAGGCACAATGCTGGTGTGGAGACTAAATTGGGTAAATTTGTGACTAATCTAATCTATGTAGTTATAGAGTATCCATCAGTATATTACATGAAAAAACTGTATGGTCTAGGGATGTTAAAATGTGTGTAATTGATTAACTGCGTAACCTCTGAAAGTTTCAGCGGTTACACACAAGGCAGTGGACAGCTCCTTGAGAGCTGGTGCGTGCTTCCCACCAAGCTCCTGGGGAGCTGGCTGCTACCCATGATACAGAGGCAGCAGCATGGAATGGCAGGCAGCTTGCCGGGAGCCAGGGCATATGGGGAGCCAGCTTTTAAGCTGGCTTCCCACAAGTACCAGTTCCCGCATGCCACCCTGCACTGCGGCTTCTGTATTAGAGGCAGCAGAGTGGGATGGCAGGTGGCTCCCCAGTAGGGATATAAGTGACTAGTCAGCTACCCAATAAGAATAAGCTTATCGGATAGTCACTTGACTTGTCACTCCCCACCCTTGCTGCCTCTATCAAAAGGAGAGAGAGGAGGTGCTGCTCCATCTGGTCCAGGGAAAGGGGGCTTTCTCTGCCAGGCTTGCCTCTATTGAACTCCTGAGCTCTTCTGGTCCCTGGGAATGAGTCTGCATTACCTCGGCTGGCTCACTTCCCCTTTTAGCAGCAGTTTCCGAACCTTGCACTTCTCATCCTCCTCCTTCACAAAATGCTATTCTCTCCCTTGCAAGCTGGACAATAGTGCCTTTTCCCACTTACAGGTGCAGTGCAGTGAATTGTTTAGACTAACTAACTTTGGGCTTCAACAAAAGTTGACAGAAATTCCAAGGTAAATCTTAATAAATGTTATATAAAATTGAATTTAATTATACTTATTTAAAATATCATTTTTGGTTAAAAAAAATTATGTGGAATTCCATGTCAGTAGGATATTTCCTACAAATCTCTGTGTGTGTGTGTGTGTGTGTGTGTGTGTGTGTTAGTAAGTTTGTGCATCTGTGAATGGGTCCATCCATCTGTGAGTCCCTTTGTTCAAGAACTCCTAAATGGTAAGAGCTAGGCCCACCTAATCTGGTATGCTGCTTCCTCTTATCCTAACTTAAAGCAAGGTCAGGGTTTGGATGTGCCAGGAAAACAGGATGTGCTTGGAATGGGATAGTTTTCTATAACATGGAATGGGAGGGGGCTGATAGGAGGGACAGCTATATGCAGAGTGACCACCGGTGGCAGCAAGTGTGAGGGATGGTTATACTGCAGAGTGACCACAGGGAGGCACATCAGCGAGAGAATGGCCAGCTGGGGACAGGGAGTGTTCACATTGCCAGCCACTGAATCGAGTTAGTGGCCTCCACCACCCCAAACAGTGCCTGCCAGGGAAGGGAGTAGCCCTGTTGCTCCAGCCCAGCCCCACCCATGACCACTTCCTGGTACCGGGCAGCATGTCCTGCCACTCTCTCCCAGAGAACCCCTCCCCCCCCAGCAAGAGAGGCTGGGGCCAGGAACCATAGTCCAGCTGCCCCTGGAGGACTCCCCACTCCCCCCCACCCCAGGAGATGTCCACCCCTCCCAAGACAGGCTGGGGCTAGGAACTCAGCAGAGACACCAAGGCTGGGAACCACGGCCTGGCCCCAGACCAGCTGGAGGACGGAGGTGGACAGGTGGAGGCCAGGGCTGGCCAGCAGAGACCCATCCCCTCACCCAGACCAGCTGGGGGGCAAAGGAGGAGAACTGAGGTAGGGGCTGGCCCATGGAAGCTCGCCCTCCTCCCTCCAACCAGCTGGAGGCTGGAGTCAGCCTATGGATTCCCACACCAGCTGGAACTGGGAGGGGCAGTTGGTAGCTGGGACCAGCCCACAGGGGCCCAGCCAATCACATCACTGTCTCCCCTTCTCTCCCCCCCGACAAGCAAATCCCTGCTTTCCCGCTTGGGAGGTACCAGCCTCCAGGGAGCACAGCCCTGGCACCCCAAGAGGAGCCGCCATTGGAAAGAGCCACATTTGCCACCACAGGAGGCCCCAGGAAGCCCTCTGATCTGACTCCTGTACCTCCCACCCCTGCCCTGAGCCTCCCCACGTCTCAGAACCCCCTTCCCTAGCTACTCACCCCCTGTCCTGAGCCCCTTCTTATGCCAAAACCCTCACTCCTGCACCCGCACACCCTGGGCCCCCTGCCCTTAGCCACTCCTCAGTCACGATCCCTTACTCCAGCCTTCCACATGCCAGTCTTCTGCCCTGAGCTCCTCACTTCCAAACCCTCATTTCTGCACACCTGCAGCTTCCTGCCCTGAGCCCCTCCACACTCCTGAACTCTCACTTCAGCCCCCCGACACACCACCCTGTACCCTGAGCCCCTCCTCACCTCAAAACTCCCAGCCCCCTTGCTTGGAGCCTCTCCTCAGCCCCCATTCCCTGCCGTGACTCTTGCACCCCCAAACCTTGCCCTGAGCACCTGTATACCTCCCAGCTCCCTGCCCTCACTACTGCACCCCCACCTGCTGCTCTGAGTTCCCCTCACACCCAAACTCCTGCTATGACATATGCACCCCATCCCTTGCTGTGACTCGGGTACTCTGTACCCCCTGCCCTAAGCCCCCCCCCACACAC